ATTTGTTTGTACATGTATATTCATGTACAAACACATGTACACATGAGCTCAATCGATCATAGAATTATAGTCATTTGGTGGTTTATCAACAATATATGTTTGAATTGCTGCTCAATATTTTCAGTTTTTTTCCTACTCACTCATATGGGAGAAGAGAAAGTAACAACTTTTATAAACCATGTTCTGAAGTACATTTTAATATTTTAATTAAAGAATAATTTTATCAAAGATGTGTTATTTAAATTAGATCATGTTAAATGTGAGATGATGTATTTTTCTCTTTGCTTTTTTTTCAAGTTTGAAGAGCCATTTTACTATACAGTTTATATTAAAGATTCTAGGGAACATAAAGTTGTATTTCATGTAGCTTAAAGTAAGTTATTTGATAATAAATTTTAGCAGAGTCCTGAATTGTACCAATTTGTGTTCCATATCAGTTTTGATAATTATGTACCTTAAGATATTGAAAGAGAATATAGTTACTTTACAAGTAACTTTAATATTTATTTATTTTTGTTGGGAACTAGGAAAAAAACGCAAATGAAAAATAAAAATGCATCAAGTCTTGCATAAAAAACTTCACTGATAGAGTCTCTTTTTCTTTCTTTCCATGATGCGTGAAGGGGCTTAAAAGCAGTGATAGGACTATAATGCATTTAGATATAGAGATGTGTGCCCTTAGTTTGGGACAGAATTACATAGCTTTATCTCATTTTATGGCCTACCATAGTAAAGAATTTTTTTTGATATATAAGAAGCCACATTAATTCTAGGTGTCAGTATTTTTTAAAGTATATATTAGAAGAGTATTTAAAAAGTATTTTAAAAATAATAGATACCCTACTGAGAAGTAACTTTTGAAAGAACACATCAACCAGAAGTGGGTCTCATGATTCCCACAGCTTCTGCTAATCAAGACACTTGGCTTTCCCTGGCTTTCAGAGCAGGAAACCATTGGTCCATCTGAACCTTCATGCTTCAACAACCAACTTGGTTGTTGCTTCAACAACCCACTTTATTCATTTATTAGCTCCTTGGACCATTTCATTAGCCTGTAGATAGGGCCAAAAACTGGTATCATCCTCTGGGAGGTGCTAAATGACTCATTTTCAGGTGAGTTCAGAGAGGATTATTACCCTAAACTTTTTATAACAATAACAAATTTGGTTATTTTGAAGAATTGGTTATTATGCAGAAGGAAGAAAATTCCATGAAACTAGAGTTAGAATATCATGATTTTCAAAAGGGGGAAATTATAGGCACTGAATTTAACTTTGATCGATTCTCAATCATATTTTACCCCCAAATGGTCACAAAAAATTATAAAATATAAGTGTTGTTCATTAGGTTCCAATATGGATTTATTAAGAAGGAGACATAAGACATGGATCTCTTAAATATCCTATCCCATTACCAGCTAATGGTAACCACCCATTATATGAAACCAAACACAGAAACTTCACTTAGTCTTATCTGAATATCAGAAATATTTGGGAAAAGTCTTCCAAAAATTTCATATGAACTTGAAGTGCAAAGTGCTTATTAAGAAAATAAGCACAGCCGAGGCTCATTTAATGCAGGTGTTTTGAATAAATCTATTATATGCTTGAATATATGAAGGCCAAGTGACAGATTGATAGAAAACTTTGGATAAGGGCTCTGATAACACTCACTCGGGATATACAAAATTTACATTAAAAATGCAATTAGGAATGGTGACTTTTCCTATCACTCTATCAGAAGGGAGCGATGATTACCTATTTCCAATTCTTCTGGGGATTAATATCAAGGAAATATATGTCAAGTTCTGGCCCCCAACTTTCGATTAAGGGTAATTCACATTCTGGGGAAAAAAAAAAAAAAGATAAAAATCAATACTTTACGAATTAGTCAACCTATATTTATTGAAAAGTTTTTAAAAAATATCTATTAATATTCAAGGGGTTGGGGGTATACAAAATAAGCGTAAAATTACTGTAGTTTTTAAGAAACTTAGAAGAGAAATTTGAAGTTATGGAGAAATTTAAAGAGCAATCCAAGGCTTTAGTAGTTAGGGTTCTTTGATTTTTATGGAACAGAAAACAATTCTGGCTTAAGGAGAAATTTGTAGGAAAGATAACGGGATAGGGAGAATTAAAGTAAAAGCCAAAGAACGAGAGATGTTTTAGTGATTTAGTTAGTAGTATGCTGCTTCTAGAAGGTGAACTCACATCGTTTTTAGTTCTTGGGTGTTTTTGGTCTGGAGAGAGAACATCTGATTGCCTTGCTGGGATCATAGGCTCACCTCTTGGCTAGGAGGTCAGAACATTTTAGTTGAGAAGCCACCAAATTTGTATCTAATTAGAGAAAATTGTCCCCCAAAGGAAAACCAGAGTGCTATTACCAGAAGAAGAATAGATGAATTCAGAACAAACAGAAGTCTACAATATACACCAAATAGTATCATATTGAACAATTTACAGAAAGGTGACATCAAAGAGGAAGCTTTTATTGGGGAAGTGGGAGTTCAACTGGACCTTGGAAAATTGACAAGATTTTAATAAGCAAAGGAAGAACAGTAAGACATTTCAAACGTAAGAAACAGCAGCAAAAACACTAGAAAAATTATAGCATGTTTAGGCATGTCACAGAGACCATTCTGACAGTAACATAAAATCTCTATTTGGGAATAATTAGGAATTTAGTTTGAAAGACCTTCAGAGCCATACTAAGATAAACTTTACATCAGTAAGTAATTGGGAATCATTTAAAGCTCTTGATCAAGGGAGCGACACCATTAAACAGAATAGTGGCAAACAAAATAATGACTTTCCTGCTCCCCCATCTTCCAAAGATGTCTATCTCTTAATCTCCGGAATCTGTGAATATATTATCTTACATGGAAAAATGCACATTACAGATGTGATTAAAGTTACAGACCTTGAGGTGGGGAAATGATCCTGGCTTAGCCAGGTGGGCCCAGTCTAATCACATGATTCCTTAAAAGCAGAGTTCCCAGAAGTGGTCAGAGAGCTGTCCC